CAAAAGGTGGCCAAAACAACCGACTTGCAGTCGCATTGTTGCCTAGATGACTGGGCTTTTCGACTGTTTGTGGGACCTACAAATCGACAGAGCTGCAGTCGAGATTTCGATTTCACGTGTGACGTTTGCGTACTTTTCGATCCATTTGAGGGTATTCCAATTCCAATTTAAGGCCTGTCAGGTCGGTAGAAAGCACTTTTCAAAGCGACAAGGGAAATGTGTTATTTTATCGTACCTGTTTTTGGGTATAAATGTTTTTAACAGGTTTCGATGCAAATAAGTGTCTGTCTTTAAACGCTTATCAGGTTGAACTTGAACCATTTATTTCGCTTAAAAAATAAGTACAGGCTTTTTAGAACAAAAATATACATTGATCCCTGTAGCTCATCGTCAAGTCTTCAATAATTCTTCGAATAATATTTTAAGCTGCTCAAGAGTAATTTGACTTCGTCAGTTATTACTCGGCATAACTTCCATTCAGCGCTATAACTTGTGCCCTTGTGCCTGAATGGCAAACTTCAAGCCAAAAGATCTCCACCTGAATTCCATTAAGATGGGCGTCTACGTGTCAACCCTTTTTTAAGTCTATTGAAAACTATGGGATTAGATAGCCGTGTGGCCTTGGCTATCATGTGGCGGTGAGGTTGAAACTGGGATAACGCCGCTCGATTCTATGATCGGCCATTAACTGCAAGTTATAAGAGTGCAATTAAAACGAGCTAAGCCGCACTGTCATGTCCGCTAGTAGTCACTTCACAATGGGAGCGTTTAATTCGAGGGGTTCAGAAATCGAAATCGAAATCGAAGTTACTCATTAACGCAGCCTCCGTCAGAAGATTCTGGGACAATTAGCGATAGATTGAGATCTAAATCTAATTGTCTGCCGCATGTTAAATGTAACTCAAGGTTAGGAGGAAGTTTTCTCGTCCCCGTCAACCTTATAAGCGAACTCGAGCCCGTTCTTATTGATGATGATCGGATCGAAGTGGAACCAGCGTAACTCGTTTTGGGTTCTTAGTTAACAAAATTAACATTGTTTCTCCGTCTGCGTTTGGGGTTTCTGTTTTTTTTTTTTGTTATTAAGGCATAGAACCTGTTCTTTTATAAGCCACAGAACCTTGTATTACTGATGCATAACTGAAGACCAATTTTTATAGGGGCTCCTAGCCACTCCAGAGATCTGTGACATAATCCCAGAAATCAAAAAGTTTATTTTAGCACGTGAAATAAATTATAAAACCGGACCTGCGGATTCTGAAAGTTCTTTTGCATAACAAGCCACACGCCTAAGAGGTCGGCCGAAAGGTCAGGGACCACATGGAAACCTTTTTGTAACGAAGATCTATGGCAAATCGATCGATCATTACAATCGCCTCTTTGTATCTAGGAAATCGAGTGGTTGCGAGCCAGAAAATAAATCTAGGAAGTGGAAGAAACCACCGAGCGACTCGCTCTTTAATTAAAGAAGAATTAACAGCTTCGCGGGGAAAAAGCGGATTGCCCAAAGTGCCAAGTCACTGCTCAAAACCACTTCTGTTTTCATTTAACAATTTTATCGTCTAATTCTGCGTATTTCTGTTTACTTTAAATAGACATGCAATTCCACAGCAGATTAGAGCGAGCACAGAGAACAGCGCTCATAAAATCTGAAGTACCCGGGCTTCCCCTTCTGCTTCGGCCAGTAGTTGTTGTGGTGGTCTTCTTTGTTTTGTTTTGGTCTTCGGTTTTCTCGTGGAGTTTTATCTTGTATATGGTAATATGCCTACGTGCAGTTGATCCATGGCTGATTTGCAGTGGATCAAAATCCGATATCCGAGCATCTCGCATGTCTGTGCTAATAAGCGGTGAGCTTCGTGAATGACTTTATGCGGAGGGCCAGCCGTCGTCTACCTCGAGCGTTTTCAAGATCAAGGGCACAAGACGACGAGTGTTCATTCATCTTCCTGCTTAGCCGGGTTTTAAATGGAGCAGGAAAACCAGAAAATAAAGCTGTTATCAAAGATTTGGTTGCTACTGTAAAATGTAAATCGTGTAATAATAATGTAACAATACTTTTTTAAACCTTTTTGGGAAAACACGTAAAGCCAAAAGAATATTTTTCGTAAAGATAAGGAACAAACAATTATAACATGAAATTATAAATTTTAAAGATTTTTTTCCTTATTTACATATAAGTGGGGGTTAATGGCTGTTGACATTTTTGCTTTCGAAGTGTTCATTCACTTCGTTTAATATAGAAATAAGCGTGCCAAACGTGTTTGACTTCCAATAAGCGAAGCATGCGGTTAGTTTCTCACAAAGCAGTTCAATGGGTCAAAGCTAGCACCATCCATGATATCTGAAGTTTCAATGCTTCTAGTCGGGTTACCTCTTCTATCAGTGTGTATCTTCTATACTTGAACTTGATCTGGATACCGGCGGTGCTAGACGGATTACGTGCGGAAGAAGAAGTCGAGAAGCCTTCGCCAAAAACTTAGCAATAAAAGAGTTGTAGATCTTAACTATAACTTCGGCTCTTTCTGCTTGCCTTCGCTATTGGTGCGGTGTTCCGTTCGTTTATTGCCATTAGCCCCAGCATTTGACTCACAAATTATGGCAAGCAGTTGTTGCTGAATTGATTAACTCGCATTGAGCTTTGGCTAGCGGTCTCTAAGTCCCTCGATAAGGTCAAGTTCATTTCCGGATAGTGAGCAGATAGTTGGCAGCCAGACTCTAAGACAGACTGCTTCGAAGTAACTGGAGTTTCGGCCAATTTCATGGGAAGGGAAATTGCCCAAGAGGTCAGCTGGAGGGGCCATAAAACAATTAGCCATTAGACGGGCCTTATGTGACGCACTCTGCAATCGCGGCAATTACAGTAGGTAACACTTGGTAAGCAATCTCTCCGCGGGTCACGCAATATTTCCTGCCTCTGCCCCTTGATTTTATCCACTAGCGTGAGAAATACCGGTCTTTTCACTTTCATGGATGAACTTAATTCTTTTCGGGCTGTTTTCTCAAAAGAGTTTATACTTTACAAAAGCATTATTAGCTGTCTTTATGCAACCTCAAATTAAAAGAGATTTATATATCTTTAAAACAATTATAAAATACAAAACAACAACCTCTTAACAACTCTGAAATTAAAAGTTAGTCAAATGATTTACGGTTCTTACTTATAAGCGCGTTAATTGCTTAAAATTTCCCCTTCACAGTTGAACTTGATTGTTCTTTGGCGGTCTGCTTAATTGCCTTAATATCAGTCTCGCTGCCAGACTTCACTGTCAATGGTCAAGTGCAGTGTCTAGTTAAAGTTAACCCACTGTTTGTTAAAATGAAAAATAAAAAAACCACGGGTAAGAATAACAGTATTTTAAATTGTACAGAGGTAATATGTTTTTCTTAAATAGAAAAATGTTCCACGGGGTTTTTTTTATATATTTTTGATGGATACTTGAGGAGGGTTAATCTCCGTCGAAGAACCGAAATGCACGCCAGGCGTTGCAATCCACGGTCAACACGACCAGTTTCAGGTTTCCTTCTAAGCCCCTGAACAGCCAAATCGTTGGTTTTGACACAGATATAGCTATGTTATGGCCGTATTGGCCCGATCGGCGCTTGCATTTGGCATTTCGTTCTCCAAACCACCGACTTACGGCCACCAGGTGACCTCGACTTTCAATCGCTGTGAGAATGTGTCTGGCATTCTTTTCGAATGTATCTTCAAGATGGTTCTCACACTGAGCTTGATACGCACCCCGATCCGAGATTTACTCGCCGATAGGCATAAAAAAACAATGTGTTTGCCAGCAATTACGAGAGGGATGCATTTCCCTAACGCTTACAAACTTTACATCTGGGCAGGCTCGCATCAATTAACCCGCAATTACAATAGAACTTGCCCAGCTTCTCGACGACTTAATCATGTGCCTACTAGTTGGAGTCGAGCAGTGGGGCAAAGGGGGTTAAGCGATGGGGCTGAGCAAAAGGGGGCGTATTAATAACCGCGCTAAGTTCAAGAACACCGCTGATGGTTATTGTCATAGTTTTGCCGCGGCAATACGTAATTATATCTGCGGATTGCAATCGATTATAAATACGTTTTGAGGCATTTGCGCGTTGCGAAGGTTTTACTTGGCCAGCGAATGAGTGATTTAATGAATTGTTGCGAGTCTAAGAGCAGTAATTTCCCTCTGCATTACCTACTTGGGGTGAGAAATATTTATGGTAATTATTTAATTTGAGCCTACAATGACACTATTTTACTTTTTGAAGTAAAAATACATCTGCGGTTCTTATCGTTCTTATCGTCTCAACTTGGGCCAAAGGTATTACTGCTTGAGCCCATAACTTGGCCATCTGCACTCCGATTTCAATGATTAATAACTCTAACAGTTTATAACTCAATCCTCTAGCAATTTGCATTCAACATTTTCCATATCTTCAAGTACTTTTTTAACCCATTACAATGTTGGATATTTCCAAGCTTTCGGTTCCTTGCAGAATAGTGACTTGAACTTGGCCATCTGAACTCCGATTCCAAAGGTGGATACTTTTATCAGTTTTGTTGGCCCATCCTCCAAATATTTTTTTCATCATTTAGCTTCAGTCACTTTTTTGACAAATTTTATATGTGTTTATTTTTTTGGTTTCTTATTAATGACCCACAATTGCACTTCATAGCGCAACCATTTATAAGTAGGATAGTAGTTATGTTATTAACAGGTCATGTTCGTGTCAACGCTAACACAACAGTGGATTGGTTCCTTGCTATAATGTTATCAGAGTTTAGCTCCATACAGTTTTTACATTATCTTGGCTTAACAGTGTAAAATTCAAACGTTGCGTCTAAAAGTACATAGAAATATCAGTACAAACCTAGAACAGTTTATTGGTAATGTAAAATTTTGTCCACCTATAAAATTTTGAATTACAAATTGCGCCAGCTTGGTGTGACCAGCCACCAATGCGTCAAACATGGTGTGCCATTGTCACGCCATAAGTGTTATTCCGCATATGCGCTGCGGTCACACTGTAGACAAATAAAAAACTTACTCGACTTCGTTGCAAATTGCATTTCAAATCGACGTCCAGATACAAACCCAAATCGCAAATAGAGGAACTAACTCCCCCGACTTTTAACCAGTAAACAGTTAAACCGGAAACATGGAGAGAGCTGGCCTTTTGGCCGTTCTGGCGCTTTGCTGTGCCTTCGGTGAGTGCGAATTCGGTGGAGGCACTAAATAGTTTAGTCATAGCTTATTGCGTATTCAAACTGTGCACTCTGGTCCTCACTTTTCGCTCTTTGTTTGGCATTGCTTTTGCAGGCTTCTTTGCCGCAGCCACGCCCATCGGAGGCGATCAAAAACTGCTGGGATCCAGTAAATGCACCTGGGGACCTTCGTATTGGTGCGGAAACTTTAGGTGAGTGCAAGAAGTGGGTGGAAAGGCGGAGAACCGGATAAAACGCTTGGTCATCGAACGCCCCAAAGAAAAGTTCTCGAAGGGGCTGAGAAAAACAACAACAACAAAACAACCGCTAACCCCTTTTAACCCCTCTCGATATCTGTCGCTATTTCTCTGTCTCATTTGTTCATTGTTTGCCCTGAGTGTTCTTTGTTTTCTCTTCTGCCGATAAGACTATCACTCGAATCGCGAATCGAATCGGACTGTGCTCCATATACATAGCTCTATTCTCCGATAACCCCTGTTATTGCCAACTTAACACTAGCGACGCTCTATTTGCGCCCTCTGCTTAAGTGCTATACTGCGAGAAAAACAACCCTGATCTCATTTTGAATATAGAAGATTGACGTATTTGAATATTCTTTATCGGTATTATAAAACTATTTCTCTCCGGGTGTATTTTTCGTAATGTTCTCTTTTTACACTTCTCGTATTTCCGAATTCGCTTTGTTTTCGGCTTCGTTGTAAATCAAATTAACAGACGGCAGACAACCTTTTTGAGTGCTGAACAAAGTTAATCGCTCGTTGGGGGAAAACTTAATCAACCTGGTTATGGGCATGAGTAATCCTAAAACTGCAGATCGTTTCGCAGTCATTCTGAAACGCCTCCCTTTCCCTTTTCCGCGCTCAGCGCCAAATGGAGCGCATGATTGGTTTATATATCACCGCAAAATGTGTTGTAAGCGGCAACAATTGTTTCTTATCAACAGATTCTGACTAATCCCGTAGCCATATGATAGCCACAGGGAAGTATCCAAAAGCAGAGCTTCTGAATCAAAACGAAGAACCTCAATTAAAATTACTAAACTATTTTCTTATAACTGAAATGCGCTTACTCATACTACAATTTAAATTTAAATAAACCAAAATGCTATCACAGTATGACATTTATTTTACTACTGATTTGTTTCTTACAAATTAACAAACAACTTGAGAAATAAAAACAATACATAGGCCAAAGAAAACATTTGTTAAGCACGCACTGCTTATCGCTGGTCGTAATTCCTTTGTTTATTGATTGATTTATTTTTAAACGCCGAGGAAAATCCGCATGTTCTGGTTCTTAACTGTTTCTTTGTTTGTCAATTAACGGCAAAAATTGCAGAGCCACAAAAATTAAAAACGTCGCCATTACTGAATTTTAAAAAAACAATATATAAGACTGGCTGCGCAGTGAAGAATATAAATATATATGTATGTGGATACGTTCAGATATACCGTTTATATGTATTGTATATTTCCGTGCTTATCATTGCTGTTTTTTGCTTTCTAGACACTTTGTTTGGTACTCCTAATGATTCCAGCACAGACATATTTTGATGTTAATAGAAATTAGCACTTTTCACGTTGAATATTGAATAAATACAGGGATTTCTCTCCATTAGGGCACGAAAATTGCTTGCGATTTTAAAAGCTTTTAGTTAATGCACACAAGAGTGGGTAAATTTTTTCTATAATAATAACATACTAATATCGAAAAAACTTACAAAATATTTATTATACTGTGATAAAGTTGCTTATGATTACTCATTTCCTGCTCGTAAATCCAATCCGATGCAACATAATCATGTAAGCTGCGGGTGCGTTCCAAAAGAAAAGAATAGGAATCATTTCCAATGGCTTCTCCCTTTTTAGTGGACTCTGGTCGTTGCTGACTCGTCGGTTTCCAGTTCGTCACATGATTATGAATGCGGGTCATTCGATCCAAGCGGCGACATTCTGCAAGATCAGCTTACTCTATGACTTTTGATTATTACACATATAAGTTTATAGTTAAGGGGAAATTCCTTACGCTTCGATAGCAAACTAACTACCTTTCTTCTCCGCAGCAACTCCAAGGAATGCCGAGCCACCCGCCATTGCATCCAAACTGTATGGGAGACCCAACAGGTGCCCGTGGACACGGACTCCATTTGCAAGATATGCAAGGATATGGTAACCCAGGCCCGCGATCAACTGAAGAGCAACGAGACCGAGGAAGAGTTAAAGGAGGTCTTTGAGGGATCCTGCAAGGTGCTGATTCCCATTAAGTCGGTCCAGAAGGAGTGCATCAAGGTGGCCGATGACTTCCTGCCCGAGTTGGTGGAGGCTTTGGCTTCCCAAATGAACCCGGACGTGAGTTTTGACAATATATGAGGGAGATTCCCTTTATAATTCTACCTGATTTTTCTCTCAACCCCCAGCAAGTTTGTTCCGTGGCTGGACTTTGCAACAGTGCGCGCATCGACGAAATGATGATGAAGGGAATGCAGTCTGCCCTCGACGGAACTGCCACAGACGAGGACGAGAGCTCCGAGGAAGCCGAGCTGACGCTGCAGCCCAACCAGCTCTCCTGCGGCAACTGCAACCTGCTTTCGCGCATGATGCACTCCAAGTTCGCGGCCACCGATCGCGACGACATGGTGGAAACTATGCTCCATATGTGCAGATCGCTATCCAGCTTCTCGGACGCATGCGCCAACATTGTGCTCACCTACTTCAATGACATCTACGACCATGTGAGCAAGCACCTGACCACAGACGCCGTGTGCCATGTGTCCGGAGTGTGTGCCTCCAGATATCACCAGCACGAGGAGGATAAGCAGCCACAGGAAGCTCTGGTCGCCCTGGACGCTGGTGATGATATTCCCTGCGAGCTGTGCGAACAGCTGGTGAAGCACCTGCGCGATGTCCTGGTGGCCAACACCACGGAAACCGAGTTCAAGCAGGTCATGGAGGGATTCTGCAAGCAGTCGCGCGGATTCAAGGACGAGTGCCTCAGCATCGTGGACCAGTACTACCACGTGATCTATGAAACCCTCGTCAACAAACTGGACGCCAATGGAGCCTGCTGCATGATTGGCATCTGCCAGAAGAACTCCTCCTCGATCAAGGATACCCCCATCATGCCGCTGCTGCCTCTTATTGAGCCCGCCCAGGTGAAGATTACCATCGAGAAACTAGAGAAGCACGAGAGGAAGCAGCTGGGCGCCAGTGAGCCCAAGTTCAGCCAGCAGGAGATCCTCGACATGCAGCTGCCCATTGACCACCTTATGGGTGCAGCCAATCCGGGAGCGTTGGTGGAGCATGGAGAGCTGTGCACCATCTGCGAGTACCTTCTTCACTTCATCCAGGAGACCCTGGCCACTCCGGCCACCGATGATCAGATCAAACACACCGTGGAGAGCGTCTGCGGGAAATTGCCTTCGGGAGTCGCCGGTCAATGCCGGAACTTTGTGGAAATGTATGGCGATGCAGTGATCGCTCTGCTTATCCAGGGACTAAACCCCCGAGATGTGTGCCCCATCATGCAGATGTGCCCAAAGAATCTGCCCAAGAGGGACGACGTCGAAGTGTTCCACCCCAAGCCATCCAGCGACGAACAGGACTCGCCCACCTGCCCGCTGTGCCTCTTCGCCGTCGAGCAGGCCCAGATGAAGATCCGCGACGACAAGTCCAAGAGCAACATCAAAAAGGTCCTGGAAGGCCTGTGCGACCATCTGCCCGAAAAGCTGAAGGACGAGTGCGTGGACTTCGTAAAAACCTATTCCAACGAACTGATCGACATGCTGATCACGGACTTCAAGCCCCAGGAGATCTGCGTCCAACTGAAACTCTGCCCCAAGTCCACGAATGCTCTCGCAGACCTGGGCATTAGTTTGGAGGACGATGTCGATGGCGAGGACAAGTCGAGCAGCGAGGAGATCAGCTCCAACGACATCGACTCCCTGTATGAGCTGCCTCCCCAACTCGCCTTTGACGAGGGATTCAGTGCCGCCCCCAACTGCCTGATTTGCGAGGAGCTGGTCAAGACCCTGGAAAAGCGCATGGGCAAGCACCCCACCAAGGACAGCATTAAGCAGATCCTGGAGGAGTCCTGCGACAAGATGAAGAAGCCGCTGGCCGGAAAGTGTCACAAGGTTATCGACAAGTACGGCGACAAGATCGCCGACCTGCTGCTCAAGGAGATGGATCCCAAGCTGATCTGCGTGGAGTTGGGAATGTGTGTTCTGGTTGATTCGGATGATCGTAAGTATACACGTGATAAAAGCTCAAGAATGCACCATAACTCAATATCATCTGCTTTAAACTAGTTGAAGTGGACGAGGCTTTGAAGTACGATGTGATTGCCCTGCCCCAAGGAAACAACAAGCTGTCCAGCATTAAGGAGCCGCCAACCTGCGTCCTTTGCGAGTTCATTATGACTAAGCTGGAGGCCGATCTGAAAAACAAGACCGAGCAAGACGATATTAAGCGTGCGATTGAGTCAATTTGCCAACGCTTGCCACAAACCGTCCGCAAACAGTGCGATTCCTTCGTACAAGGCTATGCCGACGCAGTCCTCAAGTTGATAAGCGATGTGCCGCCCAAGGAGGTGTGCCAGAAACTGCAGCTCTGCTTCAGCGTGGCCGTCACCGATGAGGTTGTCGAGTGCGGAGTGTGCCATGGAGTGACGCAGGCTCTGCTGCCCTTCCTGCGCGGAGAAAAGGACCCGGAAAAGGACATCACCGCCTTGCAGATGACATCCGTGGGGTGCGAGAACTTGCCCGCCAAGTACTACAAAATTGTAAGATTGATTTATATTAATCTAAACACCTCAAGCAGTACTTTCTTATCATCCGTAGTGCTCTGAGATGATCTCCATCTACGGCAACAGCATTAAGAACCTGGCCAAGCGACCCTATGTGGATCAGTCGCATGTCTGCGCCGAAATTGGCAAGTGCTTCGATAACGAGAAGTCTTCGCTGGCCTTTGCCAGGATTTCAGGTAAACTAAGTCCGCTAACATATCAAGAAAAAGACGTTTAAGCCGCATTATCTCCAACAGCCTAAAGCAGCCGCTTTGTGTGATGAGCGTTGTGATGTGCAAAACGACGAGGAGAAGAAGGATTAGCAGAAGGATAAGAATTAGGAGACGGAGGAGGGAGCCGATCCCACGCTTTATATATGAATATACCTTTACATATATCTGTTTACATTCTATTACGATTTACTGTAAATGAGACACAATTACTTACTTTCGTTTTCGTTCCCCGGTTTGGCTCTAAATTTGTTAGGAGAATTTGTGATGAAACTGATTTTATAAAAAAACTTAACTAAAACTTACACTAAGCAGTAACAAAAAGTACTTTCAGTATACAAATTAGCGAAATCCACAAGCCTCTAACTTTGTAACGATATCCCCAAGTCCAAAGTCAGCTGAGCAGTGTGTGTAGTTTAAGATGTCAAAGAAAACTGTGTAAAATACGAACATTGATCTTATAAATCATAAAGAAACATAAACGAACAAACTAGCACCTTATTGAAATTTTCCACTCTCCTTGGACGTGAATACATTTTTGTTATCCAATATGTTTGAGAACTCGCTGTTGATCCTCAAGCCGGACTATCTGCAAAATCGACGTCCGATCCTTTTGAAGTTGCTGGCTGAGGGGTTCCAGCTTCAGGGGAATCGCAGGATCGCCTTTTCCCCGGAGTCAGCTGCCGAGTTCTATGCTGACTATGCCGACGAAAAGGGCTTCATGCTGGAGGTCATTCTGCTGTCGAAGGGCGTCTCGGAGGCATTCATAGTCACCAAAGAGAACGCCGTGCAGGAGCTGCTCAACGTAATGATCTGCTACTTGTAAGTCTCCTCTGGGATTGCTCGATGTCTTCCTGGTAGTAAAGATTGGCTTTTCAGTGGTTGCTCATCGGACCTGGAGCGCAATATCCATGTTACCAAGAACAGCCGCAGCGTGGCCCGTGAGATAAACTTTATTTTTCCCAATTGTGAGTAGTATAGAAATTAAATTTCGACCTCATATTCCCTTCCAGAATCATGATGCAGTTTCTTTTTGTAATCCATAAATGGTTCCCCCAGATATCCATGAGCCGCATGAGATGTTCGACCACAACAACTTCTGTACTCGTCCCATGCTGAAGCCTCTGCTCGAGGAGATCTACGATATCATGCAGAACATTGATTGCAGCCAGGAGAACTGGAAGGTTCGCGTGTCCGACTATTTGGTGCGCAGCAACCCGAAGATGCCGCAGGTCAGCAACCAATGTCAGCAGCGACCGGATGTGGGCATCCAGGACAAGTCGCAGCAAACCGCCATGACCTATGCCCCGAAGCCAAGTGCAAGGGCTGTGCAGCCGCGTACCAAGAAATCCGAGAGCACCAGCTCACCCCTGTCCACCACCTCGCCCCACTCCTCGATGCTGCTGTCCTCGTCCTCGTGTGTCACCTGCGGAGGATTCGACAGGACCGAGTCTGGCATCTCGGAACTGGATCTCAACAAGCGAGTGGAGCCCCACGACGCGGAAGAGGTTTGTGTGGACGAGGAGATCCTGTGGAAGGAAGTGGTGGTCTACGAGGAGGTGCAGCCGGAGGAGGAGGAGCAGGAGTCCAAGGAGGGCCACGCCTTCGACCTGGAGGAGGAGCACGTCGGAGAGGCAGGTGGCTCGGACGTGGAGTCGGACAAGAGTATCCACGATGCTCCTCCGCCAGCAGCTCACGACGAGGAATCGGATGTGGGTGAAACCGCTGACGGAGAACCAGGAGAAGCTGCTCCGGCTCCAGATGAGGTTCCCCCTGCTGCCGAAGCCCCTCCTTCGGCTCCAGAAGCTCCTGCGGCAGAGGAAGCTCCCCCGCGGAACCCGAGGAATAAGTTCAGCTCTCTAGTACACCTGTTGCCCGTTCATTTGTTTGTCGGAACATAGAAAAAATGACCTTAAATGCGCGCAATTTTTCCTACACCTTCACACGGCAATTGCGCACTCGCAGAATTCGGGAGGATGGTCCTGCAGTTTTTGTTGCCCCCGGAAAGTGCAGCGAACACAGCAGCAACATCCACGGGAGCAACAGCCACAGCAGCAACAGCTTTTCCCGCCAGCAACATTGCAAATCGCAGGCAAAGTTTTTCGCCCCTTTCAAGTGTCCGATAAAAAACGCAGAAAATAGAACAACAATGAATCCAAATTTAATTTATGGGCCAACTTTCGGTGCAGGAGTGTGCGTTGCATGTGGCATACTTTTTCGCAATGCAAAGTGCGTTGCAATACGGCCGCAATTAACCCAATTATAGGGATTACAATGGACTTTGCTTGCACTAATTGCGGCAAATTGGAATTTTATCGACGTATTTGATTTAGTTTTATTGAGAAGGGTAAACAGGGCTCAGAAATCCATTACTCCCTGCACTACTACAGGGAGCCAATAATTAAAGACATATGTTTATGCATACATAAGCTCGAAAATTTACAATCAATTTATCGTTCCTTAAATGTTTTTTTAATCTGCAGAAACATACATATTTTGAAATCTATTGATCACTTACTAAAGATAAGTAACTAAAAACTAAAATCAGTTTCTAAACCAGAACATAAGATAGAACTTCAATCATTTTAGTCTATCCGGCTTTTGGAATTCTAGGGAAATTTCAGCTAGTACTCATACCACGGTGTCCTTTTAGCCACCTCAGCAATTGAGATGGCGAAAAGTTGCTGGTGAAGCCGTTGTTTTTGTAATTGCGGGTGTGTGTTTCAATGCCGGACCGTTCCACCGTGCCCAGCAACCACCACCGGAACAGCGGGAGTGGAATGGGTGGCGGGTGGAAGAGCGCGAAAGCTCTGCCCAAATCTCGCCGTGCGGTATGCAACGCTTTTCGCCTGCGTCCGTACGTACCGCTTCCGCTTTTTGCTGGCCAAAAAGCAAAGGCAAATCGACAGTCGGTATCTGTCTGCTCTGCTCGCATCCTGCGCCGCGTCCTGCGTCCTTCCAAAAATAACAAATAATTACTCAAAATAATAATACGTTTCGGGGGTGTGGGGCGGCGGAGCTTTTGCGTCGACGTCGAGTCTAAAAAGTGGCAGAGAAGTGAATCGGTCTCGGTTTCGCAATACATACACAAACAATAGGCGCTGGGAAGTAGACGACGGCGAATCCTTGGCGGCTCAGCATTTCCACCGAATTCGCGTCGAGGAAAAGCGGAAAATCGGAAAAGCGGAGACCATTTTCGTATTGATTTTCAAGTGTGGTAAGCGGAAAACGCAGCGAGAACGGAATAAATCGCGGAAAACACAAGAAAAGCCCCACCAACTGGCAGTGAAAACTGCGGGCGAAAATGTCAACGGCCAGCAAAAGAAAGGGGGCGGTGGTGGGTTAAGGAAGTGCTAAAAAGTGGCAAGAAACGGCGTACAAACAACTAAAAATAGCTTAGTGATACAGTGCAGTGCCCAGAAAATATGGTGGGAAAGAGCCACACTCAAAAGTGGTGCCTAAATTATAGCGCGCTTAAAAATAAATCCGGGCAGACACGGAAAAGCCTCAAACCACGGAGCAAAAAAGCTGAAGAAGCAGAAGAGGAAGCCCGAAGAATCGGAAGAGGAAGAAGCGGCCGGCATACACACACAACCACAAGGGGGTGGTGAATCAAATGTTGGGCTGGGAAAAGCTCAAGTCACAAATTTTTGCGCAAGGGCAGGCCGAGTCGAATCGAATGGAGTCGAGTGCTTTTCCGCGAGGGGGTGGCAGGCGCCTCTGCTTCTGCCTCTGCCTCTGCCGCAGTCGACGTTGACGCCGGCAAAATTTCGCAACACTCGCACAGTCGCACACTCCCCCACAATTTACAGTTCCAGCGTTCGTTTGTTAGGGGTGGCACTGATGGGGTTCCGGGAACGGAATGGCATTGGGACGAAAGTCCCACGAAGAAAGTAACGGTTACTGGAATACCCTTGCAGGCCGATGAGATCCGTAGAATGTGTTTTGATTGTTATTAACAAAGGAAATCCATTAGGAATTTCAACAACTGAGAGCAAGCTTTCAATACTAATTTATATTTTCATTATAAATAATATTTTATTTGGATACGTTTGGATAGTTTATTTAAATATGTGATACCCTCCCCCCAGATCGGCGCCGTTAACATGGACAAGATGACGGTGGCCCAGAAGAACGCATATCTCGAGGCGCACATGGCGGTGCAGCAGCAGATGGCCCAGGCGGCCATCCAGTTCAAGCAGCAGCAGACGTCGCAGCAGCAGAACTCTCCCACGACCAACAACAACAACAATAGCCAGAACAACGGCAACATGCAGCAGCAGCAGCAGCAGCAGCAACAGCAGCAACAGCAGCAGCAGCAGCAACAGCAGCAGCAGCACTACGCGGCGACCATCAAGGTGCCGCAGATCAGTTCCTCCAGCGTGGCGGCAGCGGCGGCGGGCGAGAGCACCTTCACAGTTCCGGACGACGGGATGGGCTTCGAGGGGGGAGTGCGGGTGCTCCAGAGCCTGGGCACCTGGTCGGCGGCCGAGCAGCTGACCTACAACATCCCCAAGCCGAACCTGATCCCCTTCACAGAGCCCTACGTCGAGGGGGGTTCGATGCACCCCGCCAGTCGACTCAAGGCCCTGCAACAGGTGCAGCAAGCCTCCTCGGGGGTGCGCAAGACGAATCCCTCAAAGTGTGAGTACTGCTGGGCAGCTCTGCCTCGTACTATATATTGATAATATCCTATACCGTATATTGATAATCGAAAACCCTTCCGTTTCAGCCACCAACAAGGCGTTCGAGTGCACTGTTTGTGGCAAAGGACTCGCCCGCAAGGACAAGCTGACCATCCACATGCGCATCCACACCGGCGAGAAGCCCTATATTTGTGAAGTATAAGCTGCCCTCGAGCCCCGACACCCCTTCGCCCCCTCAATCTCTAATCCCCCCTTTCCGATCGCCTTTCCAGGTGTGCAACAAGGCGTTCGCAAGGCGGGACAAGCTGGTGATCCACATGAACAAGTTCAAGCACGTGACCCCCACGAACATTGCGCCCCTCGGGAAGCGGCTGAACAACATGGTAAAGAAGAAGGAGCAGCCCGACCCGCCGCCGGAGGATAACAAGCAGAGCCTGGAGCTGCAGCTGCAACAGCAGGCGGTCCAGGTGGCCGCCCAAAACATAATCGTGCAATCCGCTCAAGGAGCGCCGGCGGCGATCCCCGGAATCATCATTCCGCACCACCAGCAGCAGCTCTCCTGGACCTGCGAGCTCTGCGGCAGGATGTTCTCGAGTCGGGACGAGTGGTCCATTCACGCCAAGAGTCATCTGGAGGTGAGAAGATGTCGGTAGACACTCCTGGCGGCAGTGAAGCCCAGGAGAGATAGTTACCTGATTGCGAAACGGATCTAACTTTCCTCTTTTCATTTCCTTTGAATATAGTATTGACAGCCGGAACGGCTAGTCGCAGAAACCACAAAACCAGCAGCAGCGGCGGCGGCAGGAGTCATTGCTAAGACCAGCAGCAGCAACAGCAACAACAATCGCAACTACCAAATGGATTCCAATCAAAACCAAATACAAATGGAGGCCCACGCACGCAAGCAGAAGATAATCATTCAAAACCAGATGATACTCAATGCCAGCCACCAGCAGCAGCCACATCCCCAACAGCAGCAGCACCAGCAGCAGCAGCAGCAACATGTGGCCCACGGAAAGAAGGCAGCCAGAAAACACCAGCAACATCTGCAGCAGCAGCAGCAGCAACAGCAACAGCAGCAACAACAGCAGCAACAGCAACAGCAGCAACAGACCAGTGCGCCTATGTACAATAACAATAGTAGTAGCAACAACCACAACGGCAACAACCAAAGCCAAGAAGTAACTACCTATTAACAAGACCAAAATATGAACTGAAACCACAGCAACACCAACAGCCAACAGCAACATTGAACACCAAACCGTAGACAACTCACAAATTCCGCATTCTGTATTCTGTTACCCTTCCGTTTACCCCTCTCCCCGAAAATGCAGGTGTCGGTGCCGGTGTCGCACATCATTGCCAACTCGCCGACGGCCGCCACCTACATGCAGGCGCAGTTGAGCGAGCACGCCAGCAACATGCAACACGGCATGCCGATCGTCACGTACAACGGCAACCAGTACTGCGTGATCACCAGGGCCCCGGATCTGGATGTGGAGGCGATGCAGAAGCCTCTGGAGTACGGCCACTCCGCCGGCGGAGCCACCAACATAATAGTAATGTCGCCGATGCAGTTGCTGCCCCAGCAGCCGCAGCAGCAGCAGCCGCAACAGCAGCAACAGCCGCCGCAGCAGCAGCAGCAGTAAGCCAGGCCGAGGAGAAAGGCCCACTGCCTGCCAGCTATAAATACAAATTGTAAATAGAGTCTTAAGCAGCCAAGAGCGAACCTAAGTATATGTTTAAAACACTACCCCGCAAAAGAAAAGCAAGTTTGTAAATGTCAGATAATGCAGCTTAGATCCCCGTGTCAGCAGTCAGCAGTCAGCAGTCAGCTCGAAATCAAACGTAGGATAAGCGACCTAACATATCCCCCCGCAGAGCATAGAGTACCCATCATAACCGTAAGGCAGCCACCACACTGAGATATATATATACCATTTCGATGCAGTTCTCAAGCCCTCCACCAGTAGCATCCCCATAGACCCGTTCTCCGACCGAGCGTGTATGATATTGTATGTGTTTCTATGGCGTTGTTTGTACATTAAGCTAATTACGTACTCCCCTTACGTCTTCGACTAAGCGCAACTTGGGTGGCGAACCAAAGAAAAGCAAATGAAAATGAAAATGAAAACGAAACGAAAGAAAAACAAAAGTAGCAGTAGTAGTGCCCATCAGCAAAGCTCCTCACATCTCCCCACTCGATTCCAATGGCAAACCATGTAAAGATCAAGCGAAAATAAATTTAATTTAATTAAATAAAATCAAGCGAGCTTTTAATCAGGGGATTGAAGGTAAAATGATGGTAAAATGTTTCATACGACGTATTGATTAAAGAATAAAGTATTTTGGGTTTATAAATTAGATTTATAATTATTTTCCCCCACAATACACTTTTGCGTTGTACAAGTTATAGAATGTTCTTTGATTGCGACTCAAGCTGAATAATGAACTCCTATCGGATTTAAATCCTTGTAACATTACGTATACGCAGTGTCAGCCATACTGAGCATCATTCAAGTGACACTCACTTGTGGCCAAAAGTTACGAATTGAAGCCATTAAAGCACCCAATAATTGGCAGCTGTTGTCGTTTATTATTCTTGGTTGGCCAACTTTGGCGGCATTCTCGCTTTTTGGTCCAAACAGACGGGCCAAAAGCGAAGTAAAAACCAAAACATTTGGTCAACGCTGAGCTCACGAAAATCAACTTTTCGTTCCAAAAGTGAAAAATGCCGCCGATTTGACCTTAGATGGAAACTCGTCGCAGTCGCTGCGCAGTCGACGTCGCGGCCAACGTCAACGCTGCACTGGCAGCAAATAAATTTCTGCCTCGAATGCTGTTTGCGTTTGTTGTTAATAATACAAGGCATTCGACAAGACTCAAGAAGGGGTATTTGGATTTTTTAGGGGTCCTGCGATGCACTATCTCCAAAAAGTAATTAAATTATTTTCTTTGTTTTAAAATCAAACCAATCTGTACCCAAAAAACATTTGTTTTCAAATGACTTAAATTAAGCCAACGTTCGTCTGAAGCGTTCTTTCGAAATAGTTGAAGAGTAAGGAAAGAGTATTTAAAAGTTGGAAAACTAAAACCCGAAGTTTTTATCCACTTTTCATGTTGTTTTTCGCAAGAATCGCAAATTAGTCTGGCTCACCTGAGCAAACTCGAACTCGAAAGCGAACGCCTACGACTAATGACAACGCTCACGGCGACGCCAACATCTCTGCCACTTTACTGCTCCCAGCCTCCGCCGGATTCTTTTTGTGTCAGTCGGTTTTCGGATCAGTCGCCGATCAGTCGATTTGACCACCAATCTTGCGCGGATTGAGTGACCATGCTGAACGGAAAGTTCTACACGGGTCTGCCGCCCAAAATGGTGGAGCGCCAGGCGGTGAAGGTGTGCAACCGCCAGGAATCCCACTTCTACTGGCCGGATGATTCCCGAGCGGACTCCGCCGTGGAGAGCCGAGTGAAGAGGAGGAACAGCCAGCAGCTGGAAAAACCTGTGGAGAGGATTACATCTGTTCCGGATTCCCCCAGTGAAGTGGACACAAGGCGGATGTTCCACAAGGAATTCGCCAGCTCTTCCATTCAGTTCTATGACAATCTGCAGTCCAAGCCGAGCACTAGACCTCCTCTGGGAAGAGGGCAGCGCAGGGAACTGACCCCAAAGCTCACTGAAGTCCGACCCCAGGAGTTGGACTCCAAGGTTGAGGACACCTCCAATCGTCGCCAGCAGGCTTACACCTCCAAAATCCAGTTCTACGACTATGTTAATGAAGCGGATAATGCTCCCCAAAATAATGTGAGGAAGCCCCAGATGGACTTCAACGACAAACGAGAAGTGGAGCTGAATACCAAGAATAGTCCAAAGTTGCAGGTGAAAAGAAACGTGCGCAGTTTCAGTGTGGAACTGGAACCCAAGGTCACCAAGAAACCCCTGAATGACAGCCCCGAGTGGCGACGACCCCGCCCACTGCCGCTGCCCAGAAAGATCCTCAAGCAAACGCCGCAGGACCAAGACAGCTTCGACTACCTGGAGAACCGGGTGAGGAGATTGCAGCTTACCAGAAGTCCTGGCTTGCCCAAGAAACACGTGACCTACAACGAGGAGGCCGACGAGTACGCCTACTATGACGATCGCGAGGAGCCCGAGTTCGAGATTCGCCCTCGCCAGCAGCCAAAAATGCCGACAGGAAGTCGCCAGCAGCAACAGCAACAACATCCGCAGCAGCAACACCACAGCCAGCAGCAACATCAGCGCCAGCAGCAGCATTCAGTTATGGAAACTAGTCGGGCCAAGCCATTAAATAATAACAATAATTATCAGACCCACGCCAGCGCTAGGAAAATCTCCCCGAAATTGCCGGAAAGCCCAGTGGCTCGAGCCATTCAGATGGTCGATGAAGACGCCCCTGTGGCTTCTGACCCCCGAAAACACCTGCGCAGCAGCCTCTGCTTCAGCGGCGACGCTCTCATGGTGGGCGGCCAGGCGTCGCAGTCGACTGCGCAGGCGCGGCGCAGCTCCGCCGGGCAGAGAATCAGCGTGGGTCTGCCGGACTGAGCGCTCCAGTTCGCGGGGCTTTCTTGGTGCAGCTACACGGGGAGAAATTGAGTCAATATTAGTGCCCAACTATCTTTGTAAATAATAATGGCTAAATATCGGAAAAGGTTGTTTAAGAAAGTAGCATTCAAAAATTGCAGTACACAAATGCAGATGCCTTAAAAATAGTTCCTGGCCAAAAATAGTAAAAACTTGTTGAAAAGGTTAAAAATACTCAGACGACTCTGTGAATCACTCTTGGTAAAGCTTTTTTCCCTGTGTAGAAAAGTCGACAGTTACAACTTGCAATGCTAATTGAAAGCAACAGCTTAAAAAACACCGACTGCAGTGAAGCAGCAACAAAAACAGCAACTGAAGCAATAACATCAACTTAGATAGGCAGCAGCCACTTTTCGAGGCACGGCACTACTTTTACGATCATCTGCTCAACTCTGACTTCACCCACATGCGACTGAATGAGTCGGCTTTTGTTATTGCCGTGCGGTTGGATATACACACATAAACAAACCTTGATCTTGACTAATTTGTGGGCATTGCTGTTGTTGTGCACCCCGATCATGTATTAATTTAGCTTTTGAAGCCAACGCAGAATAATCTATAATAATAATAGTAGAGATATGCTAATAAACTGATACATAACCAAATGAATTTCAAATTGGGAGGCATTCAATTAAGCCCCAAACTTATTATAGGCACATCAACTTATACGGCTAGCCGAAGTTTTTTTAACATTTACATTTCCTAAACTTATAGACGTACAAAACTAGAGGATAAACTAATAAAGATTTGAAACATATACTTCAGAGCCATTTCACCTGAAGGGGAACTCCAAAAGTGTATTTATGGGGATAAACTTTTACGTGAATGTAACACCATTTGTCTCACAACAAAACTATCCATTAGTGAACAAATTTTCGAATGTAGCCAAAAATCCTGTGCACACTAAGTATACACCTTTTCAGGCCTCATTTCAATTGATTGGCTCGTAATCAATTTGAAACTGTTGTGAATAACATTAAATTGGCGTGCACTCAAGCTAGATGCAATCACGAGGCGAATCGGCCGATCGGAACATTAATAACCCGATCTAATGTAATTCGAGGCACCCTTTCGTGGCGCTTTTTATCGGTTCATTTGAATTCCCGGCAATTTGCCGGACTGGGCAATCAAGTCATTGCTCTGGGCTGCTCACCTGGCCATGCCCATTTTATTTCCATTCGCAGGTCCCTGCCCCATGCTCCTTTCACAAAACTTTCAGCCGCTTGGGCAGAAAGCAAAAACCATTTTGGCGGCATTGTTACCGGCCAGCGGAAACTCGACCAGCTCCCAGTCGGAGTCAAGTTTAAGTCCAAGTGCAAGTTTAAATCTCTGCTTGGCCAGTTGGCTGGTCGGCTTTTCCAGTCTGTTCACAAGGAAGCGGGATGTTCGCGAAGCTGAAGCTGAAGCAATTGTTGCAGCAATTGTCACGCGTGTTGAACTTGAGCTTGACCTTGTCTTGCAAACGGGGAGTGGAATTGCCACCCATTGTCCAGCCGACAAATTGCCGCCGGAGCAGCAATTATGCATCGTACACCGGGCTTCAATCAAGGCGGCATTAGCCGGGGATTTAATCAAGGCATCGCTTTGATTGCCGGCAATCTGCGGCTGCCATGGGAACTCAATTTGAAAATCCAGCGACAGGATTGGCGTGCAAAATAATTGTGCAAATGAAGCGCGGTGAAATGTTACGCAAGTGCCTGTCCATATTCACTGCCATTTCTTGTCCACTTCCACTTCCACCAGCTTCGGGACAAGACAAACTGCCTCCGCTCATGTTCGAACATACGAGCATAGCGTTCGAGTATATCTTCCGCATTTCGATCGCGCATCCTGGCCGATAGAAAGTAGTCCAAGCGTGCCGGCAAAAAGGCCACAGAGCCGAGCCACCTGGCTAACATTTCCTGGCTCGTTTTGGCCCTGGCTGAACCTGAACTTCGGGCCAAAAGAGGAGGCAAGAAAATCGCAGCATTTATTGGGTAACCGATCGGCGGGCCAACAAACGTGGAAACCCGTTTGCAGAAAAACTGATTCAAATGAGTCGATAAGGTGGCTCGTCTGCTTTTTTAGTGGGTGTGTGGCTCGTGCCGGCAGACCCACAAGTGCACTTGGAAAAATATGTGCAACTAACTCTCAAAGAATAATATAAATATTATGCTTTGGAAAGAGATCTGATAATCTTAATGGTATTTCAGTACAATATTATTGTTTGTTTGACATTAATCACGTATCACATTTGTATACCCTATAAATGAGTTGCAAATATGTTATATTTTACAGTCCCTTTTCAGCTACCCAGTAATAAGTTTCAGGTCGAATGACACGGCTCATAAGTACCGTCAATCTTCGCCTATTAACGTTATTGTGGTACACTTTGTGCATCTAATTCGCCTGCTTTCCTATTAAGTCACAGACCAAATCGAAACCCCTCCGCAGTTACAACCTCAAAGTAGCAAATGGCCATCGTTATGAGTAATTGCAGACATAAAGAAACATTTTATTTATGCCCCCTGCCCGTCGGATGGGTTGGCGCTCCATTTCCTAGTGGAAATGCAAATGATATCTCAGCTTGTGAGCGGCAAACTCTTTTTTGCTCCACGCTGTGAGTAGCAAGTCCATGCGTGAAGCGGAGATTTCGATCTGCAGTCTGCTGAACAGCAACTGGCTCACCTGGCAGGTTTCAATTGCGATGGCCATTGCGAAACATGTTGCGGCAGGTTCGAGGAAGCTGGCATAAAACTGTTGCGTCCGTTGGCCGAACTTTCAGTTTCGTTGGGGCCACGCTGGTGGTTGATACCGTTGATACCGAAGAGAGTTTTCACAAGTCACAAGCCCCGTGGAATCAGCCCACTCGAGATGAAGCTCTACTGGAACGTAAGCAACGCGAGAGGATTTGAAAACCTTCGATTAGCCTAACACGGATACTAACCCCACAGTTCTTGGCTGCTGCGATGGTGCTGGCTTCGGCCACTTCTGGACTGAGACCTCCGAGGTCCTACTACCGGAGGAGCTACTTCAGTGCAGTGGCTCCGGGATCTGGCCACGGATCGGGATCCCTGCCAGGACCCGTGAGACTGGGACCTGCTGGATACCTGCGAGCGGACCTGCAGACGAACGAGAGCAAGCACCGGCACGTGAGCAAGAAGTACCCCAAGAAGAGCCACTACAGGCCCTACGGATCGGTGAGTTTCCAATCCGAAAACGGAGGATTATAAATTTATTAGTTGCTAATTTAAACTCTGTTGTGAAACTCCGCCTTCAGCAAGAGGAGGAAGACTACTCCGGCGAGCGCTACAACTCAGCTGAGTACTCCGCGGAGTCCTCGGTGCAGGACAGCCGGGAGTACACCATCGGCACCCAGATCCGCGTCCAGCACCCGATCACAGTGCCCAAGAAGCCCGGCCACTCGGGATACCAGAAGCAGCCGCAGTACGTGACCGCCATTCCCTACAAGGCCACGGGCTACGGGTCCGATCTCCACAAGGCCACCGGCTACGGCTCCTCCGATGCTCACATTGGATCCGCCGAGGACGTAGGTCCGCCTCCCAAGCGCTCGAAGTGGAATCCGGTGCAGTACGAGGCGGAGGCCGATCCCTTCCACCTGGTGCCTCCTCCGAAGGCAACCGTGGCTTCCAGCAGCAACTCCTATAGTGTCTACGAACCAGAGCACGACGACTACGACGTGGTCCCGGTGCCGAGGGCCAAGAGCCACGACCGCTACAAGAACGTGGCCTCCAAGAAGCAGATCGAGGCGTACCTGGAGGACCAGCAGAAGCTGCTAGACGAGGCCATCAAGGTTCAGCTGCTGAACAACCCCAAGCTGCAGAAGTTCTTCAAGGCGCAGGCCCAGGAACAGGAGCGCGAGTCGCGGCCGGACCTCGAGCTCGAGGACTTCGAGGCCTACCCGCCCAGCTTCTCCGGCCCGGGTCACCTGCGGAGCAAGTACATCGAGCACCCGCCTCCGCCGCCCCCGAAGGGATCCCGCTCAAGGCGACGTCCCCCGAGCGGAGATCTCAGCCGGCCGCCCAAGAGCATCATCAAGCCCAAGCGGAAGTACCGCTCCACAGCACTGGTCATCAACGTGTGAGGGGAGAGGGGGGAGCGGGATCACTTAGTCCTTAATTATTACTAGTTTAAGTGCGTAGGTTAGGCGTACTCTACAGTAGAGCTGTAAATAATAAAAGACCATTTACTTTATGCTTGGCTTTTCATTTTTTCTAGCAAGTTTTATGAAGCATATGGCAACCACATGGAAATATTTTAGTGCCTTCTAAGATACGATATTCAAAACAGCGTTTTGAAATTGAATTGAAATTAAATTATAAGAAGTACGTTACATAAATTCATTTCCTTGTATTTCAATACATTGCACAGTGGCGCGCTCTACCGCTTCTGTAGAGAGTGTAGATACTACTGGTTCGAGTATCAGCTAATCACTTTGTTGTCTGATGAAGAGATTTCGTCACGCGACTGGATTCAATGTACCCCATTTTTGGACTCCCAAATAAACATTAAATTCCTTTATCCAATTACCAACTGCCTTTAAACTTAATCATGTTTTCAAATGCTGATCTGCCCGTTTAATTAAATTTATTAATTACTCATCCATTTAATTGAAAGCTGGGCTCGCCTTATCCAAACAGACCGTAAATGGAGCTCGGATCTCGCGACGAAATCTGGCGACGTTTGCCACTTTAAAAATAACCCCGTCAATCATGAGCGAAGTGAATTCATAAAAATAGCCTTATAAAAAGCCAATAGAACCAACACACCCATATGACACCTGTTGCGATCCCAGGCGAATTCTTGGCTTTTACCTATTTCGCAAAATCCGCGATTGAGCAAGCCAATCGAAACGGATTGCGATTGCCGCAAAAGTGGGTGCACAAAGGCACGCGGAGAAGAAATCATAAAAACAATAAGCGGCGAGAAACACAACCAAATTGATTTTCTTAATTGACTGAGCAATTTCAACAGAAGCCAGACCCCAAAGCGGGCTAAGCTCAAGCCAAACTCTGAGCCGGACCCTCGAGTCCACAACAAAACTGACCTTGAAAGCCAAGCTCTGAAAAGTGTTGCTAATATTGTTAATGTAACCGCTGTTGGTGGTGAAAAAGAATGCCAACCGGTGGATGTGAAAAGTACGGAGGGTAAAAATATGAATTTACTAAGCATTGGCTACGAGATTTTAAAATGAATTACTATTATAATAAATAAAATATTAATGCTTTAATACTTTGTTATTAAAAGAATAAGCTTGCAGTCGAGAGGAAGCGGACAATTAGCTCGTCTTGCGTTCGATGGAGCATTAAACTGAGCAAAATATTTGGATGTAATTAAGTTGCACCAACTTAACTGGAGCCTGACGGATTAAAATAGCATTGGCAATTGATTTACTCCCCCCGATCCGCGATCCCCGCCCGAAAGTACTCCACCCCCACCTGCACATGGTTTTCCGGCTCAACACGAGCTGATTTCATTTTCATTGGAATTTTTGCACAATTGGCCAAGATTACTGTCAAATAGGCGAAACCCGTTTGAGGTCTTTCCTTGTTCGCCACATAGAATCGTAACGGACGCAGACCAACTGAAACTGAAACCCGTTTTGCATGTATGAAAGTCGGTTGTGTAATGCAGCATTTAGTGGGCGTTCACCGCCCGAGGTGTTTAGATAAATCTGCGAGGAATCGAATTAAAAAAGCCACTGGCCGAAAATCAAAAGACTGCAGGACACAAACTTGGTTTCGTATTCCTTCGTATATTGCTCTTACACATCTAGGTTACAAATTGCTCACACGTCCCAAGGCCCAAACTGCAACAGATTCTAATTGAATTGGAAACTGTGTCAACACTTCGAAGTTTATTCGCTTCGCTTCTCGTTAAATTAGATGGAAGATGGGAGTTTGCGGGGAAAGCACAGAGAAAACAGGCAAAGGCATTCCTTGATTTTTCATTATATTTAAAATTTCAACTGACATTACTCCGATCGGGTAACGCGGCTTAATTTTCTCTGTGTCGGATTATAAATACAAACAAACAGTACGCATATAGGAAGTACGATACAAAGTTACAGCTTGCTCTTAAACATATCACACAAGAGTTTTGATGGAGTCAAGGGGAGAAGAGAATCTAGATGTGACAGGGGGAGAAGTTGGGTTGGGGGAGGGTTCCCCAATGAAGAAGATGCTTGGGGCGATGGGAATTAGACCTTGTTGAAGGAGTAGGTGAAGCCGTCGGGCGTGCGGTTCAGGGAGAGCTTTCCGGGCGGCGAGAAGCGGTGCGGGTTGGGGGTGGTGGTGGGGTAGTACGCCTGCTGCGGCTGCTGGTACTGCTGCGGCTGCGGCTGGTACTGCGGCTGCGGCTGCACGGGCTGCGGGTTGTAGGCGGGCTGCGGGGCGGGGCGGTACTGGGGCTGGGGGGCGGGCTGCTGGTAGCTCTGCTGGTTCTGGCCGAAGGAGGGGTCGTTGTAGCGGGGGTCGTACGACCCGTCGTCCCCGTAGTCGTTGCTGCGGAACGAGGACTGCGGCTGGGGAGCGGGCGCCTGGTACTGCTGCGGCTGGTACTGCTGCTGCGGCTGGTATCCCGCCGTGGGCACGGGCTGCGGTGGGGCAGGGGGAGCCTGCGGCAGGTGGTCTCCGGATGCCTGGAACCTATTCGGAGCAAAGCAAAAGAGTTACTTCCAACTCAAGCAGGATCCCCAGCTAGGCTTACCCGTTCTTGCCGGCTGTGTAGGAGATGGTGCGCCTCTGGCCCGTGGGATCCAGGTAGCTGTAGCTGCCGTGGCGGGTGCCGTCCGCATCGGTCTCCTCCTTGAAGTTGATGCCGTCCTCCTGCTCGTAGGCAGCCCCGAACTTGCCGTCTCCCGAGAGATAGCGCTGCTCGCTGATAATGGCCGCCGTCTTGGGGTCCTGGTGGTAGTGCTGGCTGGAGGCCAATGCCACCAAGGTGGTCAGGGCAAGCTGTTGGGAATTCACAACTGATTACAATCCACAAGCTTAGTGATTCGACTTAGAAAGTGTCCTTAGCAAAAACCCAAAAAATGCAGAAGCTTTTAACTGTCACTTTTCTTTTTAATTAATATTAATCAATATTTTAATGGCATTCATTAACATTTTATTTTGAGCTTTAAGGAACACCCTCGAACTGAACACAACTCACAAATCTGAGCATTTTGGTATTGCGAATTTGGAATATCCTTGTCAAGCGTAAACTGCACACAATTTTCTCTTATTTTCGAGGGGATTCACACGCGCCTTTACGCTTACAAGTCGGTTTCTCAAAAAAATGGACCGACGGCAACGGATTTGTGGAGTTAACGCTAACAACTGCCTTCCGCAACGGCGCCGCCCAAGCTTTTTATAGTCCGAGCGGGAACCTTGGATCGCCGATCGACTCCGCCTAGGCACTCCAGCCCATGTAATTGTGTTGGTACTATTAGCGGCAACAACAAGTCGGCCAAGACGGCGTAACAATAACAAGAACCGAGCTAAGTGCTCCAATAAGTCAACTTTTGGCCGAGTATTGGTATCGCGGTCGTGTTGCCAAGTCGTTTTACCAGTTTCGATCTCTTTCGCTTGGAGCGCCAACTTTTGCTTTCTATATACACACGTATATATGCGATATGCACTCGGTTCCCCCGTTTCTGGCTGCAGCAGGCCCAAGCCCAAGACGAAACTATTTTTTAATTATTTCAAAAGTTTTCCAGCTCCGACCCACAGGCCCACAGGTATCCTCATCCGCGGGGGGAGACACTCGCATAGATAGCCTGGAATTATCAATTGGCTTCGCTGTGAATGATGCAATTCTCGTGGCAATAGTTTAATTTGGTTTCAGGCAAAACCAGATAGCGCTCTCGAAGGACTCCCATATTTTTTAATCTCCCAGAGTTTATTAGTAATGGATTAGTGTTTATTATACAATGCTAATAATTTGGAAAATGGTAAGTCAGTTAAGCAACAATTGCCTTAAGTGGTGGTTTGTAGGTCCTAATTAAAATATGTTCAAAGCGGCAATAAAAACGTCTTTAATGGGAAGATATTTACTGCTGGCTAAAATATTTATTAACTTTTAGCTGCAGCTTATTGTTTCGTTTTCCCAGGCAACTGTCGATTGTGACGGACTGAAAGCCGAACCGAGTTCAGAAAACTCGTCAAATGAGCGTGGTTTTCCTTCCCCTCTTCAACAGTTTTTACTATACATCTGTTGTGTGGCTTTTAGCTGGATTTGCATTCTGCACTCTGCATGTGCATGGCCAAGTTGATTTATATCTAGATCGAACTAAGAGCTGGACTTTGTGGTGTGGCACAGCGCTTGGCAACAATCGCCAGGGTTTCTGCAATGTGTTTGACTTGTTGACTCCGCGCTGGCTTCAATTATTTATTGTGTTTGAAATGTCTGGCATTGTTTGGGCTTGTTTATGGCCAGCAGTTGGCTGCCACCCACACGCTCCACGCCCACTCCCACGCCCCTTTGCATCATGCTTGCAGAGAACTTTTGGCATTATTTATGATTGGTAACGATACAAGCGGATCGGCATACGTAGCTGCTGGAGATTATGAAATTTGATCAAAGTCTGAACCCAAAACCTTTAGTTTGTGAGGGAGAAAAGGTAGGGAATAGAAGAAGATCCTTTCATATATATTTTCTCCGCTTGCAACAAGAGTTTTCCCAGCAGGCACAGATCAGTAAGCAGAATAAGAGCATTTAGGTATGCAAATCGGTTTTCCATATTTTAATGAGCCATTTCCACACGCCGGCACACTCTGGCAACAAAGCAGCCGCATGTGGTCGCAGATCTCGAGTAGCAACACTCTCATTTACACCGCCGGCATACTTGCCCTTTTGCAAGTCGCCATCGTCATCGTCATCGCTTTGTTTGTGTGGCCAAAAACATGGAACGCCCTCTCGCAGTGGGAGGCGGTAATCAGCGAGCGGTAAAAGGGAGGCGGAAATTAAATCAGTTGACAAACAACAACAGCAACGGAACGGAGCAGCGGCCATATAGCCACGTACGTCTGAACGCCATGGCAAGAGCAGCCGATCCAAGGCGAGCCGAGCCAAGGCGAGCCGAGCAGTTGAGCAGTTGCGCATGGCCGGATTAGCTTGAGGGTGTGCCCACCGGAGGGTTGAAACGGTCCAGATACAGTGATCACTCGGAGAAAGGAACTCATATAGCTTCGGTTTAAGTTTATTACTTTTTGAGTTATATGAGTGATTAATCTGATAAGTTGCACCCTCCACTTTTCTACAGACAAAATTCATACAAGTTATTCTGTTTATATTTTTGTTTTTTTACACACAATAATAGGTAGATAAATTATCTTTGATATTCTATAAAATAAATTGTATAATCTTCAAAAACGGAAGCTATGCATTGGTTCCACTGTACTCCGAAAGCGTCCTTCTTCCGTTGGCCTCTCTGCTGCTGCCTTTTTGATTTCCATTCCGATTCCGAGGCGTTTGCCTGATGCGACGATACTGCCACCCAGGATTTATTGGGGAGGGAGTTGTACCAGGAGGTTGATTTTGTTGTTATTCTGTTTTGATTGCGCCGTCGAATCCTTCAGCCAGAGAGAGAGGGAGCGTCCCATTCAGCGTTTTATTTGTCAGGGCTTCACTTTGGCCGAGTTAATCACAATCGGCGAGCAGATAATGAGGGTTGAGCCCTCGGGGAGGGGGATGCATGCAAAGCAGAGCGTTTCCACTCCCTGCTGCCTTAATTCCGCGTTGTCTCTCAATTATTTCAGCTGCTATTCCGAACCCAAAGTCTGAGTATCAGTCTGAGTCAGAGTTCCTGGCTGGGAAACTACCACCCGAACAAAGCGAAACGGCAGGGAGATCTGGGCAGACAATTGCGATTATTTGTAATTCAAGATGCAGTCGAGCGTTTTCCGAAATCGAGCGAGTCAACTCCGCGCGGAAGGTTAACAAAAATTTAATGCTAAATGCTTATCGGTCCATCATCAGCTACACATCTCCATTTCCATCAGAAGTCAAAACCGAAACTCGCTAAACTTGTTGGGAAATACGATCTATTAATTCCTGCAGCCAAAGAGAGAGCGAAAGAAGGAGATGGTGATTTGATAGCTGACTCATGGATGATGACCCTGCACACTCGTCAAAAGTCAGCAAGACAACTCCCAATGCACAGTGAAAAATATATCATATCCATCTGAAATCCTTACTACTCTTTATTAAATACAAAAATCGAGATAATTCTTTGGGAAATTATAGTATGTATGTGCAAAATTTAGTGCACTTTCATATTTTCAAACTTTGATGCACCATCTTTACATTTTTTGAATTCATTCAATAACAAATAAAATCATATTTTCAACATAGTTTATACAGATATCTTTCTGTGCATTCCGCTTAAGTTCTGCCGATCCAAATCCGATTTACAATCTGCTATCCTTTATGAATGTGTAACTCGATATATGTATTTTCCCAACGCCCGTGTAAGTGCTCGCTAATTGCGCATCTGCTGAAATTTCTCATCGCATTCGTGTTTTCCTGGCCGAGGTTTCGCTTACCGTTTGACTTTTCCTCCGGCTTAGCCTTACCCAGAAATCAGTTGTCAGTTGCCATTTAAGCCGTTTAAGTGTCGCATAACTAACGTGGTTTATAGCGTTTACAGCGCCACTGGACCAGTTTCCCCACACGCACACATACGCATTGCCCGTTGGCAATATCAAGGTCATTGCGTGTTTTTTATGTGGGGGACGAAGGGGGCGGGGCGGTGGAAAACGGGTTTTTCGCATGCGTAGCGGTTTTCGCACTGCACCCGCAGACTTCCGCATTTCGGGGGCCCGCTTTTGGGTCCACGCGTCTGCGCAGTGTGCGAAAATGCAAATCAACTGGGGAGTGACGTCAGTGATCTGTGAGGTGGAAAAGGAAGCGGAAAGCCATGCACTGAGAGAACAGGCCAACTTAGTTGCAATATAAAATAAACTTATATAGATATTGCCTAATTAAATGAATGAACTCTACTCAAATCAGTTTCAAGTTGTCTGACTGAAATCTTCTTGATCGTTTCCATTGTGCGAACGTCGTGAGATGTGATTTTCTCCTTCCTGTGCCCTTGTCCTTGGAGTGTGGCATGCCACTGCCCAGTTGCAGTAACTGCAGTTTTTCGAAAGTTGTTTCGCAGCCACCCAAATTGCTGACCTTGTCAAAGGAATCGGTGCATTGAACCCAGAAAATATTAATTGCCTGGGAGACCAGAGCAAGAGCTTACTGATCTCTTTTTGGGGAGAGGGAGCACCACCATTATTCAAAAGTTTCCACTCTGCAAACAGACTTATCTGAAGCCCAAGAAAAATCTGCGAAATTTGATTATCATGCGAACGGCAGCTACGTGATTTGATTGCAAGGAAGGTCAACCGATAAACGAGACAATTAGAGCCATGTTGACATCTATTCATTGGCGAAAATGATTCATGACTCAACGCACATTACACATTAATTACCGGCGCTGACAAAACGCTATTAACCAATTTATGATTTCCATGCATAATCGCGTTTTCAATGTCACATCAGATGGGGTTTATTTTTAGTGGTATTTCGGTGTGACATGCAAACAAGTGAACGATTAATTGCAATGGCAGCGGCGACATATAGACAAATCGGAACCGCTCGAACAATCCCCTGGAAAAGGGGCTCTGAATTCCGGTTGATTGTGCGCTGTTTGTGGGACAATGTCAGACGTCAAAGTGCAAGAATTTGACAGCCAATAAACAAACACAGCCTCAAATAAAAAACAAACTGGCAAACAGGCGAGTTCCGCTCTCATGACACGGCACTAAATTATTATCGAAAATACGTCCACTTGACGGGCTCACTTGTAATCGATTCGATATTTGGATATTTGGACCTCACCTCCACTCAACTCGACTCCGAGCCACTCAAGTCGAGTGTTTCGGCCACTTTTCACAGGTGATTAGATGTTGGCCACGTCTGCGGCGGCGGCTCAAAGTGCTTAATTAGCCTACCGTTTGTTGCTGCCTTTTGTTAATACTTTGTTTTTGTTACCCCTTTGTTGCGGAGTGTTCAAGACAATCCAAAGCACGGCCACTGAAAAAAGAGGTTTGAAAAGCTTGAGAATAAATCAATAATTAATAATGATTTATTATTCAAAAGATTTAATATTCTTGATTGATTTAACTTATTGCTTCTGCGATTTTAAATATATGCTAACTTAAATGTCTTAAAAGGTATTTTAATCATTTATCAATCATTTCGCTTAGTGTACCAAGCCAAATTCGAAGTTGAAATCGGCATGCGGTAATGATATGCCAATCACAAAATTAAGTAGCATGTAGA